ATTAGCTGGTTAGGAGTGTGCAGAAATGTCTCTCCGCATATTAAAAACAGCAACAACAAAACCAGCCCTCAGAGCAGTGAATCATCCCACAGGCTCTGTTTAGACTCTGGGTGGCATTTCCAGGCTTCTGTGCACCCGCTGAGGCTGAGCTTGAGGGTTCATGAGGGAACCACAGCTGAAATGTAAACAGCCACTCTCCATTTCCAAGACAATTCATTGGGACCACGGTTGAGAAAAGGACGCTGAAGGCCAGGCCAGATCCCTGTGGGTCCCCAGGCAACAGAACTGCATGAATGCCCTCTTGAACAGTAAACCTGTCCTCGCTAGTGACAGTATGCCATCCACATCTTCATCTGATCCAACTGTCCAAGAATATGGAAGATGCCTTGTGCCTGGTTAGCCAAGGGGTCTATCCAACCCAATGTTGCTTATTTTGATTAGTTGCAGTTTTCAGACTGCCTGAGGTTCTTTATCAGAAGACTGCTCTTTGTCTCTAGCTCCCATCAGCACCAGCCTGCATGGCCAATGGTCATAGATCATGTGAGCTGTAGCTTAGCAACATCTGGAGGGCCACAGGTCCCCCACCCATGCTTTAACAGGAAATGCTACAATAGGGACTGAGTCTGGGTTGTCACATATGCAAAGTGTACTTGATCACTTACTCTTATCAATATGGATGACTGAGAAAACAAAGCTTACAGTAGTACCTCGGGTTAAGAACTTAATTCGTTCTGGAGGTCCGTTCTTAACCTGAAACTGTTCTTAACCTGAGGTACCACTTTAGCTAATAGGGCCTCCTGTGCCGCCGCCGCGTGATTTCTGTTCTCATCCTGACGCAAAGTTCTTAACCCAAGGTACTACTTCTGGGTTAGGGGAGTCTGTAACCTGAAGCGTCTGTAACCTGAAGCATCTGTAACCCGAGGTACCACTGTACTCTGTTTTCTCTCACAGTATACAAAACATTTGTCTTTTACTAAAGATTTCCATGGAGAAATACGTCTATATGGGGAAGGAGGGTGGTACCTTACTGCCAGAAAACGTGCTTTGCATGCAGAAAGTCCCAGATTGCCATGTAGGAGCTTCATGTGGGAAGGACTCTTGCGGGGAACCCTGGAGAGCCACTGCCAGTCAGTGTAAACAATACCAACCTAGATGGCTAGTGGTCTGGCTTGATACAAGGCAGCTGCCTATATTCCTATCAGTATTGGTTCAGAAAGGGGAGCACATCAACGTTTTTAGTGTCTATGGAGGACCTTAGCTGGGACCTTTTGACCACCATGAGCCTGACCTTGCTGGCTAGTGATCCATTGCCCTTTCCCAACCCCTTTGTGGGATTAGCAGTGCAGTGTTCAATTGGTTGAATGCATGGCAAGTTTCTTCCTGAATAAGCACAACCTTCAGAATATAAGACCCACCCTCAGATCTTTTGATAAAGGGTGGTATAATATTAATATTAATATTGCAGTCCTGCTGGATCAGGGTTATGGCCTATCTAGTCTAGCATCCTGTTCTCACAGTGACCAACCAGATGCCTGTAGGAAGCCTTTTGTGTGAAAAGTGGGAACAGGGCACTTATCCTGGTCCATGAAGGCTGGTTCAAACATGTCCACCTACTTGTGAACCCCTGCAGAAAAGCTCCATGCTCCATACAAGAGCAATGATGTCTAGAGGCTGCTTGCCATATCTCCACCCATACAAGTTCAACATGTGTGTGCCGGTAAGAGCTGCTGGTGCTGCATGTGTTCTGGTAGACGGGACCTAGAGAAGAAGCAGCCCTTTGGACCTTGCAGATTCCATGCACTGAACCAGTACACTTCCATGGTAATGTCATTTGGGGTAACAATGTGAGAACTGACTCCTCTTTGGTGACAATTGCCAGCGGTCATGCCTGACAATTGCTCGTTGGATGAGGAATGCAGACTCTGCCAGTTTTTCATGCTATTTTCAGTAAGCAGATTGCAGAAAAAGGAAACTGGCGTGGAGATGCTCAGTGAATAAATATGATGACAACTTGGCAGAAAGCACCCATTTCACAAGCTGTTGCCAGCATACATCGTATTTTGCTGCTTGTTTTTGTTTCTGGTGACACTGACCCAGACTCAGACATCAGACCTTCTGCATCAGGTTATCAGTGCATTTCCCTACGCATGGTGGCATCTATTCCTTCCCCCTCCTCTCACAAGATCTCATCACCTGCCACAGAGAATGAAAAAAACAAAAATGGGAAAGAGCCCTTTCCTGAGTTACGCTCCAAGATTCCCAAGCATGACCCACTTCTGAGCGTCTAGGAGTTCTTCCAAGAGTTTTTTCCGGTTTGGAGCAGCACAAAAGCACCAAACTTTAAAAGATTACTGGCTACATCTCAAAGACCCGTCATCAGGTATTTGAAGATCAGCAAGCAAATTTTGAAAATAAAAGGCTTTCATAGGCCTTTACATACTAGATATTTCCATTAATATCCTCAGGTTTGAACAAGTGTTTAACGGGGGATTGTATTTCTGAAAATGAATGTAACACCTCTAAACTGGTGAGCCAGACAATAATATTGCTAAGTTCTTTTTTTTTCTTTTTAATATCCAAGTTGACTTTAAAAAGTGCAAAAGCAAGGAGTTTTTGAAAAGGTATCCTTCCCTCTGCTAGTACAAGCATGATGATTTTGAGGTTAACAGTGCGATCCTACTAGATATGTTTTCTCAGATGTTAAGTCCCATTAAGTTCAATAGTACGTACTCCCAGGTAAATGGGTACAGGATTGCAGCCTGAGTATTGTGTCTGACGTGGCTGTGTGAGCATCCCTGGTACCAAGTGGAATTTTTTTGTGTGGCGTTGCTAAATATGAGTGACACAGTTCCCATCCCACTCACCAATGCCATTGTATGAACCATGTTGGGATCATCCAGGGAGCCATTTGTATAAAATCGTGGTGGTGATGTGACTTTACTCACAAGTGACTCAAAGTGACTTACAATCCACATGTGGTGGGAATGCCCCAAAATCCAACCCTTCTGGACAAAAGTCCTACAGGAAACAAGCAAAATAACTAAACCGCTATTAGAAGTCACTCCAGAACTGGCCCTACTGAAAATCATCCAAGATAATAATTGTAATTATATTCTTTATTACAAATGATATCTTTTTTCCTTTAAAAGAATCCATTGCTATCTTTTGGTGGTATAATGGTAAAGAGTAAATTATAATTGCATCTTTTCTCAGTATTTCCAGATTAAGAATTATAGCTTTTCAGCAATGTACTAGTTTATGGCAAGAAATTAACTTTAGAAATTACTGGGTGGGGATGGGGGTTAAAAAAAAGTACAGTAGGTTATCTGAAATATATCCCTTATTGCTTGCATAGTGTGAAGAAAGGGAAAGTAACTATGAAAAATTGGATAAAGTCCTGAGTAGGCATATCAGGTTAGATATTTGGAAATACTTGTGGAAGCAGAAAATTAAGGCATCTCATTGTGTCAGAATAGCTGAAAATAATTATTAAGTGCTTTCCCAGTGTTACAATACTCCTTGGTAATTGAAACAGATGTGGAGACAGATGGGAACTGCTGGAGATGCAGTTGTATTAAAAGGGGTTCCTGGCATATTTACTAGCTTTGTCCTAAGATTAAGATTTATTTGGGAGGAGGTGTTGAAAATTTCAACTGCAAAATTTCACTTGATTTTTTATAGGAATGACACAAATAAGACAGTGGCTATGATATGCAGCACTATACATATTTATCTAGGAGTAATTTGCATACAACTCAAGGAGACTTACCGTACTCAGTTGAAGGAAAGGTATCACAAGAGGAGTTTGAAGGCATTATTTTTGCATTAATCACATACTTACATCTCAGCAAGGACTTCAGAGAGTCCATGAAACCACGTTGCAGGTCAAGGAGCTCATACCCTCCAACATTTCTCCGATGAAAATAGGGACGTCCCATTCCACAGTGATAATTTTACTATTTATACCCCATACACCTTACTAGGTTGCCCCAGCCACTCTGGGTAGCTTCCAACAAGTATAAAAACACAATAAATCATTAAACATTAAAAAAACCTCCCCCATACAGGATTGCATTCAGATAGCCCGGGGGTTGGATAACTCCATATCCTCCAACATTTCTCCAGTGAAAATAGGGACATCCTAAGGAAAAGTGGGACTTTCCTGGATCAAATCAGAAACCAGGATGGCTTCTCTAAATCAGGGACATCCTTGGAAAATAAGGACACTTGGAGGGTCTGGGAACTTCAAGCAGTTGACAGATTCGCCCATCAGCATGGTTTAGTGTTTTGAAATACTGCCTTTCCCATTCCTAGAGTCTGCCAGATTCTGACAGGCCAATGCATAAGACTATGGAAAGAAGCATTGTAACTACTGCTAATATTGATGGGAGAACCTTGGACTTGTCCCATCTCCTTCACCCTGTGTTACTGCAATTTCTTTTAAAAATAAAAATGAACATACAACCATGGGCCCATAACTGAGTGGTAGAGTATATGCATTGCATATATAAGCTCCCAGATTGAATTCCCACAACCCCTAGCTAAAAAGCGATCTCGGGAGTGGGGCATAAAACCTTAGAGAGCTGTTGTCCACAGTAGGCAGTGCCATTCTAGATGGACTGAGTATCTGACTCAACAGCTTCATGTGTTTAATATCCATATGGAAGTACAGAGTAGCAGAGAAGCATTATTAACAAAGCTCCGACCAAAAGCAATTGGTTAGAGCAACCCGCATTCACAGGGATAGTAAATGGAGGCTGGAAAGGAGCATCATAAAACTATCCTAGCAGCATAGTAATGATGCTGGGTTGCCACCAAGAATTCTGGAGTTTATAGTTTGCTATGGTTTCTGAAGGCTCTCTGGTAGACATCTCTGAAGCCATGCACAGAACTACAATTCCCAGACTTACCTGCAGAGATTAAATCTCTGTCATGCCTGTTTTAAATCTCTAGTGAGAATATGCTCTTTCTCTTTCTCTTTCTCTTTCTCTTTCTCTTTCTCTTGCTCTTGCTCTTGCTCTTGCTCTTGCTCTCTCTCTCTCTCTCTCTCTCTGTGTGTGTGTGTGTGTGTGTGAGAGAGAGAGAGAGAGAGAGAGAGAGAGAGAGAGAGAGAACCAACAAACATTAAAGGACACCAGCAATGCCCTCTGAGTGCAATTTGAACCTCCCATTTCTATCTATGCCACTTGTATACAGTGGTACCTCAGGTTAAGTATTTAATTCGTTCTGGAGGTCTGTTCTTAACCTGAAACTGTTCTTAACCTGAAGCACCACTTTAGCTAATGGGGCTTCCCGCTATCGCTGCGCCGCCGCTGCGCGATTTCTGTTCTCATCCTGAAGCAAAGTTCTTAACCTGAGGTAATATTTCTGGGTTAGCAGAGTCTGTATCCTGAAGCGTCTGTAACCTGAGGTACCACTGTAAATTCCACTTGCAGTTCCCCTTTTATGCCCTCAGTGCCTGCACGTTCTCTTCAAAGTGAGGTAGGTTTAATGACCATTTAACAGATGAGGAACCAAGATTGAGAAAAGTGATCGTGGACCTCCCAATGAGCTGGTGACTGCTGGGCCTGAGAAACCCAAACCCAGGGCAATCCAAAGCTCTGTGCTCCTCTAGCCAACATCACCAGCTCCCCGGTGTCTCCCCCACCCCACCCCCACCCCTCCATTTGTCTCCAGCTTACATCTTCCATTCAGCCTCAAACCAGGTAATCAGCTCTTTTGTGCTTGTGCGGGACTCACTTAGGGTCTCATTAGGGTCTCCGAGCCACTTGTCGTGTTGGTATTGCATTAATTAATGGGAGCATGAGGCACCAGCAAAGTGCAACGCATTTACTCTCTCCTCCTCAGTGGAGGCTTTTTACAAATCAGATCAAAGAGTTCCTCCTGGGCTCTGCACAGATGGCTTTAAAGAATCCATTCCAAGGACAATAGAAATAAGAACTCTAATAACCTTCTCCTATGGAGACCTGCCAGCTCCAGAAAGCAGCCAGTCTGGTGACCATTAAAGGGGATGCCTCTTTGGTTTCCTTTCCACTCTAATTACCCTTAACTGGCTGCTGCACCTGGAAGCAGAACATCAAGTGCTCTCCAAGGATCAGCGTGTCAGAGCGGCTTGCACTCAAAGAAGGATAGCCGCCTTGGTGTTTTTCCTTTTCCCAGCACTGAAATACAATAGCCTTTCTGATAGAGAGATAGGGCGCAGAAAACCACAAGCTGCCGGCCTCGAGGTTTTTCTGGTACACACTCACACACACATACAAACACAGTCACCCCACACTTTCGAGAACCTTCTGTCAATCCTCCAGCAACCCCAGGTTCTCTTTCTTATGCCACCATCCTCTCTTACCTGCTCTCTTAAGCAGAGGATAGCAACATCAGGCATATCTTTCAAGGAGAACATTTCTAAATGAGACTCAATTTTCCACCTCCACCCTCCGGTTTGTGTACTATTAAACAAAATGTGTGTGTGTGTGTGTGTGAGAGAGAGAGAGAGAGAGAGAGAGATGTCGTATTTACATTTTGCTTCAGGCCACCACTGCTCTTCAAAGAACGGGAAAAGCTTAATTGGTAACTAACATAGCAAGCCACTAGACAAGGGGTAACCAAAATGTTGTTCTCCAGATGTTGCTGGACTACAGTTCTCAGTCAGCATGGCAGCAATCTGAGATGAAGGGAGTTAAAGTCCAAGAAAAACTGAGGTGTGCTATGTTGACTACACCTGCACTAGGCCCTACTGTCTTAGCTTTAAATCTGCCAAATGAGGATAAGGAGATTGCAAATAAAAGTTGAATGAATTCTCTGCATCTGTCTTTGTCACTGCCTGAAATGACTTTCACAGGAAGGGAGTCTGAGGAACTGAAGCAGATAGTGTTGGCAAGAGACAAAGGTCTACACCCAAGAGACAAAATAAAAAGTGACAAATCACCAGATCTGAATGGCATCCACTTGAGAGTTGTGAAAGAACTGAAATGTGAAATCGTTGGTCTTCTAGCAACAATATGTAACTTGTCCCAAAGTGTCCATTCCTGAGGGATTCTGGAAAGTACTATTGCCCATCCCAGGAAAGCTGACAGAAAGTATTGTTAAAGAATATTTGAATTCATAGCTTATCTAATGTTAGGGATGAGTAGTGAGATGGCCAAGTTTGCTGATGATACTAAATTGTTCTGGGTCATTAAAATGAAAAGAGATTGTGAAGAGCTCCAAAAGGACCTCTCCAAACCCATTAAGTGGTCAGTAAAATGGCAAATGCAATTCATTGTAAACAAGTGTAAAGTGTGTGTGTCTTAATTTCACATGTACACTCATGGGATCTGAACTGACAGTGACCGACCAGGATTAAGATCTTGGGGTTGTAGTGGATAGCTTGATTAAGAGGTTGACGAAGTGTGAGGCAGCTGTGAAACGGGGAAAAAATCCATGCTAGGGATCATTAGGACAGGAATTGAAGAAACAGCTGCTGATTTCATAATGTCATTATACAAATTGATGGTGCAACCACATTTGGGATATTGTGAACAGTTCTGGCTGCCTCAGCTCAAAAAGGGTATAGTAGCATTGGAAAGGGTTCAGGAAAGAGCACCCAACATGATCAAAGGGTGGAATGACTCTCCTATGAGGAAAGGTTATAGCATCTGGGACTTTTATTTTAGAGAATACGAGAGTGAAGGGTGACATGATAGAAATTACTGTATTTTTCTGTGTATAACACGCCCCTGTGTATAAGGCACCCCTATTTTGGGGGACTCCAAATTAAGAAAATGGGGGGGGGATTGCCAAGAGTTGTTAAGCTTTTGGGGGGGAGGATTGCCCAGAGTTGTTCATCTTTTGGGGGGGGGTTTGACGAAAATCTCTCACCCACCTGACAAACGCAGCCAATCTCACATGGTGCCAAAACCACCAATTGTATGCCCTGTTGCCACCAGCAGCCGCCAATAGCCCGCCCTATTGCCACAGACGCAGCCAATCGACCACAGCCCTTGCCGCAGCCACCAATGAATCGCCTGATCACTGATGACAATCTCCTGCTCACGGCAGCAACCAGTCGCCCCTCCCCACACTGCACTATCCATGTATAAGACGACCCCCAATTTTTAACATAATTTTTAAATAAAAAATGCTCATCTTATACACTGAAAAATCTGGTAATTAAATTATGCATGGCATGGAGAAATTTGGAAGATTCGGGACAGATAAAAGAAAATATTACTTCACACAGAGCGTAGTTAAACTACGACATTTCCTCCCACAGGAGATGGTGATAGCTACCAATCTGGATGGCTTTAGAAAAGGATTAGATAAGTCATGGAAGACAAGGCTATCAACAACTACTGGCCACAATGGCTATGTTCCACCTCCACTATCAGAGGCATTATGCCGGGAATCGCCGGGCTGAGTGCTATTGTGCCCATGTCCAGCTTGCAGCCTTCTTGCAGACACCTGGGTCATTGGCCTGATCCAGCAAGCTTTTCATATGTTCTTATTTTAATATAAAAACCCATGGAACTGTGCCACCACAACTCCCTCACATCCCTTGCTCGAATTCTGTGGCTGGTTTGCTGGCTGAGGCAACATACCATGAGCATGTTGCATCTCTGCTCAAGGAGCTACCAGACCAAGTTCATTTGCTACCAGACCAAATTCAAAATACTATTGCTGAGATATGTGGATTGGGGAGAAATTCTGCTCAGCTGCATTTAAAGGGAAACCTTCCATGTTCACAGTGTCTGAAACAATGTGTGATCCAAAATAGAGCCATCCTTCAAATTTTGCAATACAGTTCTCCAGTCAAAATGCATATAATAGTGCATACGAATGCATATATTAGTGAAAATAACAGTAAAATGCATTATATATGGGAAAATTGCTTTGGAAAAAATGTTTATTAGACGAAAGTGTTCATATTAGGAGACATCTGCACTAAGATGCTGGTGAATTTTCACGAGGATTTGTTTTTTGTTTTTTAAATCAGGTGTGGAAACATGTAGAACTGAAGACTTGAAAAATGAAGGCAACCAAAATGGACAGATTAGTCCATCTCTACTACCCAACAGGGATGCGGGTGGCACTGTGGGTTGAACGACAGAGCCTAGGACTTGCCGATCAGAAGGTCGGTAGTTCGAATCCCTGTGACGGGGTGAGCTCCCGTTGCTCGGTCCCTGCTCCTGACAACCTATCAGTTCGAAAGCACGTCAAAGTGCAAGTAGATAAATAGGTACCGCTCTGGCGGGAAGGTAAACGGCATTTCCGTGTGCTGCTCTGGTTCGCCAGAAGCGGCTTAGTCATGCTGGCCACATGACCCGGAAGCTGTACGCCGGCTCCCTCAGCCAATAAAGCGAGATGAGCGCCGCAACCCGAGAATCAGCCACGACTGGACCTAATGGTCAGGGGTCCCTTTACCTTTTTACTTCCCAACAAGAACAATGCACAGGCTCTGGAAGAAACGCAAACCTCTTCAACTTTCCCTCTATGCTTCAAACATGCTTACGCCTTGGAGTATTTCCCAAGCATCTTCAAAATGGCTCTTCACCATGGCTGAGCTAATTTGTTTATCTTCCCAAATGTTTGCTTAGCAGTGGTTTTTTAAACACATTTTTTCACTCTTTTTCACCTCAGAACAGGACTTTCTACTGGGGGCGGGGGGAGAAGGGAGGCAATATGACTCCAAATCACTTTCACCTGATAGAATATCGTTCCCCCTTGCCCTTAAAAACAACAACCCATCAAGCCATAAGACCCTATTTCAAGGTTAGTGAACTGCTTGCAAACAGGTCCTTGTCCGTTGTTTATAGACCACGTGCGTGCATACATAAAATAAACATGTACCCAAAATGTAGCAAATTGACTTCTGCGGCAGACTCATTGGTAAAAGGATTTACCCAGTTTCACAATGTATTGTCTAGACGGCCCCTTCCTTGCAACCTAGAGGGTCAGCTCCTTTCCCTTCCCGTGAATTTCACTGGTCCTTCACTTTGGCCGCTGGGATTAGGAATAGCGAAAACCCTCCTGTGTCCATCCACCTGCAGTGCCACAGCTTGGCGTTCTCCCCAGACCTACTCCCGCACATTCCACAACCTTGCTTTGCCCAGCAGCAGCAAAAAATAAACTGGTATCTTCCTGTTCC